GTGGTGGTGAGGGGATGGAGGGAGGGCTGCTTTTTTTTCAAACGACATTTCAGGCTCGCACCCAGTCCTTGCCATGGCCCCAAGCCGCGACTTACTCGAGTGGAAGGAAGCAAGGCCTCGCCAGAGAGGGTTGAGAAGGACCGTGAGCCCCTACCCGGGATCTTGAAGCCAAGGTGGTGTGCTGTTGTCCTCGGAATGGTGGCAAATAAGTAAGAAGAGAGCACGCTATCTTCAGATAAATTCAGTCGGAAACTCTGCCTGGAGGTGGAAGAAGGGGCTCTCTTCGCTGAGTTTGTGGTTTGGAGCCCTTTTCGCCTTAAACTGAGCCACAAAAGAATGGAAGACACCCCCTGGGGTGGGGAGAAAAGCCCTGGTGTAAAAGACACACGTTTTTGCTTTCAGAGAAAAAGCCACTGGGGCCAAATTGAAACATGGCATGTTCAGTTCATGTAGTTTTTTTTCTTTTTTTTTTTTTTTTTAATGGGGGAATGATATTGAGTAAACAAGATGTAATAGCTAGGTCTTTAAATTCAAGAAGGGAGGTGGGATACAAAGGTAACAAGCACATATTGTGCATACAGCAGGTGGTCGTAGCCTACAGAACACAAAAGGATACATATGCAATATATAAACCCCGTAAAGCCCACAAAGGTGTAGAATCGTCAACACATCCGACTGAGACAATATATATTACCACCACGTCAGGTATGCTATTTATCCAGCCCTGTGTCCTGGTTCCTACATGCTTCACAGACCTGCACTCATTGGAGAGGTCTTTTAAAACGAGAGAGAACCCCCCCCTGTCAAGCTAATTGTGCATACCCTAGAAACAGTACAAAATACAAGGATAGAAAAAAAATGTCACCATAACCTCTTCAAAAGGCTCACTCCTGCTGCAGTGAAAACTCCCAGCCTAGGGAGCGTCGTCGTGTTTTATTTTAAATTAGATTAATTGCCTAATATTTGCAAAGTGTTGGGAAGTTGGTCTTTTTAAATCTCAGTGTGCCTCTCCTTTGCATTAGCTTCCATTGAGGAAGCCATTGTTCTGTTATGGGGACACGGTGTGATGTAAATTGAAGTAGCATTTTTGCTATTTAAGGCTTTTCATGTAAATGAACCAAATGATTGTCTCACGGAAGAGCTGTTGGTCTTTCATTCCAAACGGCAAATTGTTTGGAGGTGCACGTAAAATTGGGACAACATATTTCCACGTGTTTAGAAAGACCTATTGTAATCTGCAAATTTGGCCAGCCACGGCCTCACATTTATCACTGTTACAAGATGATGAAATTGAAACTCATCTTTAAGCCTGAAAACGGTGCCAGTTCTCTGTGGGTTGAGTTTCAGCTTTACCTGGGCTTGATTTCATTTGAAAGGAGGCCTTTTTCTTCTCCTAAAAGTGGGCCCTTATTAATATGCATGTGAAAACATTACATGCATTGAATAGTATCCAAACACCTGCATATCGGAAATCTTGATAACGCTACACACAGTACAATATATGGAATTTCATAATAGGCATACCAGAGTAAATCCTAGGTTTCCTAGATTTGGAATCTTTGTTTACTTCAAATGCCGTCTTGCCCCTCCCCCATTCCTTTCTCTTAGGAGTTGAAAGCACAGCACAGCAGTGTTTGAATGGTCAGAATCGCTCTAAAGTCTGGAATGCTTATAAAGTGCCTTGGGTGTAGAACTGCCTCGTGGCTTCATAATGCCAAATACTTTGTGAGCAGAGCTTTGTACAAAGCCCAGTGTTTTGGTCAAGCCTCGGCTGGAGGAAATTAGTTTGAAAACACAATTCATCATTTGCACAAACGGCAACAGATAACATTGCATCTGCTTTTAAAAACTATAAACAACCCAAAGTAAAAGATCGTTTCTTGTAAATTATCTCCGTTCTATGCTTACAAAGAGGATTTTGGAAAAACCTCTCTGCCAGGTAGACCGATAGTTAAAAGCAAAGCACCCATCTTAGTCCATTCGATGAAATCATTCAAGTTTCCAGCAGAAAAAACAAATTTTAGTGTACGATTTTTTTAAAAATGATACTACCCCTCTTCCCCAAAGAAGCAGTACAAACGGTCCTTCTATTATTCTACATATGTAAGGCTGTTGGGCACCACTCCCGCTTTGGGCAACAATAGTAGAAGTAACTCGACTGCAAGAATGAAATAAGCTATTATTTGAGTGCTGTAGATAAGAAAGAACAGAACAAAGAAATCATATTATTCTTATACCAAATAGAAACTAAAGGAATTCCAAACCCTTTCGGATTTGGTGCTGTTTTTATTGCTAACTCTCAATGTCTGAGTTTTTTTCCTCCAATCAGTGTATTGCAAAATCCCAGCTTTTTTTTTTTTTTTAATCCTTTTGTGGTTTGAAGCCAGCTTTGCAGGCATATAGAGATATCAGTCTACACATTGTAATCCCCCCCAAATTCCACTATGAAACTGGGAAATTCCTTTGTTAGAAAGAGCACACAAAGGTGTGTTCCTTCAGGGAAAGGAGTAGAAAAACAAAAAGAAAAGCCTTTTCTTTATCTCACCATCAAAAGTCCTTGCAAACCCTTCTCAACCTCCAGCCTTCTGACTTGAGCTACACATTTTTAGCTCAAAACTAAGCTAGGCCTAGGCGTTTATAGAGAGTTTAATATGTTCAATTTGTTGGCATGTTTTTAAAGGAATTATACTGTTCGACACTAGAATTATAATTTAAAGATGTCTAGCCAAATGGCCAGCAAAGAAAAGGGAAAAAAAAAGATTGATCATTTATATTTAACCCCAAAATAGTAGTAGAAGCAGGATTTTTTTGTATTTCCCAAAAACTCTTGAAAGAAATGATAACCAGATTTAAATTATTATTTGCCTAACAGAAATAAACTGAGGGGAGACCTAGGAAAGGATTTCCCTTATCCTTTGTTAGCTGATTTCACTCAGAGACCTGAAGGGGTAGTGATTGTGTTCCGTTAAAAGATAAACAGCATATTTAAAATTTTAAGAGTTTATTTGTGCAAAACTCTGCTAACCGGGCATTGCCAAGAGGGAAGTGGCTAGGAGCGCTCCACCTACAAGAAGCCAAGGAATGAATGACGTAGAGAAGATGAAGAAACGAAAGGAAATTATTTGATTGGCTATAGCTTGAAGCCTAGTTGGCTGTTTGTGATTGGCTATCCTTGGCATTTTGATTGTGTCATCTCGAGGTATTTACCGGTTTAGATTTTGGGTTGTTTACAGAGGTCACCATGGCTTCAGAGCCACCTCAGTTTAATGGCCTCCTTGTTTCATTAATTTAGCAGTTTAACTTTGGGCATATCTCAGTGACGTCTAAGTCCTGGCTACTGAATGGATCCACAATTCTTTATCTCCTACTGTCTCTTTAGGCCTAAATGCTGGAAAGACAGCCTTATGAAGGAGAAGAGTAGAGAGTGAGGAAAGTGTTGTTTTAGACCTGGCCGGGTAGCTCGGTTGGTTAGAGCATCCTCCCGATACACCAGCGTTGCGGGTTCGACCCCAATCTGGGTATATACAAGAAGCAACCAATGAATGTGTAAATAAATGGAACAATAAATCCATGTTTCTCTCTCTTTCCCTTCTTCTCTCTCCCTAAAATCAATCTTAAGAAAAAGTATTGTTTTAGAACTCTAGAGAATCACACAAGAGCCAGAAAGTATGGGACTTGGTATACCAGCAAAGGATTCTTCAGGAATATGGGTCAAAGGACAACGCCTGTCAAGAATTTTGTAAGGCTGCCTAACCCTCTGTGACTTTCACATTGTGTCTGAGCTTCTGGAAAGGAACTGGTGCTTTGGCTTGTTTCCTACTCGCTCAAGTCCAAGAGGAGGGGAAGGGAAAGCTAGAAAGGTACCTGAGAAAAGGAAAAGCAATCAGGCTTAGTCCTTCAAGGAGGAGAGAACACACAGGAAATGAGGACTCAGTTCCACCTGAAAACCAATCTCGTTGGGCTCCTGCAGTACAGAGGCGACCTGGGCACCATGTGAATCTTCATCTTTGCATCTGCCCCCAACACCTCCATCATCTGCACCAGTTAGCACAATGCCTTGCACATCCCATAGTTGAAATTAACTAGTTGTTTGTGAGCTAAGGAATGGATAATAAATCTACAGGCCCCTAAAAGTAAGCATGTCCTAAAGAAAACATAAGACCTTTGCCACTGTAGCGGATACCGTAGTGCTCTGTCTAGAACCTCTCTTCAGGGTGTACACCCTGAAGCCCTAGTTGCTGAGAATATTAGCTGCTGACTACTCACAACTGAGCCCCTCCCTGCAAATTGCCTTGGCCACCGTCTTATGTCAGTTCCTGGGAACTATCCTGCCCAAGTTTACACCCCTTCCCACGCTGCAGACAATGATGTAGAGATACAAAGGCTTGGTTGGCCCTCTTGCCTTAATTTGGGCCCATTCTGAATAGACAGACGCCCAAGCTCCAGAGTTCCTGGTAAACTGGCTGAGGTCACGGTCTCTACAACATTGTGGGTCAGCTTTTCCTTCTGCTTCTCTCACAGGTGGATTTCCAGAGCCTGTTTCCAGGAAACTCAGCCCCACATACCCACCAAGCCAGATCCATCGCTCATTGATCCCACTCTCTAGTGGCATGGACTCCCTCACATCTATTCCATTGCCATGTCTGTAGATTCTACGTCCCAAGTACCCATTGACTGGAATCCCTTCTCTCCATCTCCATCACCCTGACTCAACCTCTGGCCTGTCACCTCAATTTGGGACTGATCACTAACTGATCTCCAGGCCTCCAACCTGGTCAACTTCTACTATATCTTCCACACTGAAAGCTCTAAGACCTTTTCAAAACATACCTTTTTGTCAGTCCTCTGCTCAAACTTTTTCACATCTCTTTATTGTCCTTAGAAAAAAGTCCAGGCTCAATAAAAGTGACTTAGCCATGGCTGGTTTGGCTCAGTGGTTAGAGCATCAGCCCGCAGACTGGAGGGTCCCAGGTACATTTTCGGTCAAGGGCACGTACCTGGGTTGCAGGCTCCATCCCTGGCCTGGTCGGGGCACGTGCGGGAGGCAACCAATCGATGTGTCTTTCTCGCATCGATGTTTCACACTCTCTCTCTGTCTCCACTCTCCCTGAAAAAAGCAATGGAAAAAATATCCTCAGGTGAAGATTAAAATAATAAATAACTAAAAGTGACCTAGAAGGCTCTCCATGGTTCAGCCCATTTGCCTGTCCGCATCCCTTCCTTTTCCCTCCTCACCTTCCAAGACCCAGTCTTGTTGAACCTTTTGTCCTGTGAGTAAGACCAGATTGCTCTCACCGTCAGTCCTTCACATTGCTGTTCCCTCTTCCTGGAAGACTCTTCCCACTCTTCCCCAACCTCCTTCATCTAACTCTCGTTTATCTCTAGGTCTAAATTTATGTCACTCATTTGGAGAAGCCTTCTCTGACCTCATACAAACTGTATATGGGTGCCCCTGACATGTGTTCCTAAGTTATCCTTTTCACATGACATTTAAGGTTTATTTGGCTCTCTCCCCATGAGACAAGAAACCTGTGAGGTCAAGGACAATGAAGGACTTTGGCTCACTGAAGCCTCCCCAATGCCATGCCATCACACACAGAAGGGCTTTTAAAAATTAGGTGTTCAGAACATCAAGATTGATTGAATGCCTATCATTTTTTCCCCAAT